CTTCAGGCCGTTCAATGTAGGCCAGTCGATCTCTGAACGGTTGTTCAAGAGACAGTCGGTGTTTCCGCCAGATCTGCATTATGTCTGCAGTCTGTGTGCAGGTAGGGCCTGAACTACCATCGATCAGCGTCCTCAGCGGCTCCAATCTCGATCCATACACCGCATTTAAGGAGTCAAAGAATTCCTTGTGTTGGCGACGTTCGGCGTAGCATTCCCTTTGCTTCGCCTTCTCCGTCCACCATGCATTTTTTATTCGACGGAGCTCTAGGGTCAGTCGCCGTGGAATTTTGCGAAACTGAGTACGCTTCCCCAAGTCACTGGGGTCGGTCACATTTGCAGCAAATGCTGCATTCTTCCCTGACACCAATGTGCCAATCGTCGCATTGTGCTCATCAAACTAATCAGGCCCCTTACAGTTTGCGCGCCCGATGGTCTCCTCCGCAGCAGATGTCACCTGGTCGCGAATTTGGTGCCACAGGTCTCCCACTGTGACTATACTTTCCACATCACATAGGCGTTCAGCTATCACCTTCTCCCGCTCAATACGTTTCGCCACAATTCCGAGGGAGAGTAGGTTAAATTTACGCCGAATCACGGCGGGAGCGCAATACATAGATTTACGACAATATATGTACAGTTTGGTCCGCACTATTTGTGCTCAGTGTCACACTCAGCACACAGTACACGGGTCATGCGCAGTTCATGCATATCACGCTGATGTACGATGACATAGTTGAGCAGGTGAGAGTAACCACTCCGTGGGTGCGTCCAAGTTGCTATATCACTCGCACACAGTGCAAACCGAGTGTTCGTGCTCGTCAGGTCGTGAATGGCACACAGCGAGAGCAGCCTGTCACCGTTCGCATTCGCTGAACCAATGCTATGCGGACTGATGACATCTATCCACACCGATACATCACGCCCAACCCGCACGTTGAAAGCACCTCGCTCCTCGGCACAGACCGTATCACGATCACAACACGAGTGTAAACAACACTCATGTGCTGCGATACGCTGAGGCGGTAGCGATCAAACAGCTTGACCCTAGTCTGTGTGCAGAAGGACGCGTTCGTCACACTGGCTCTACCCTGGTAGTAAGTCAGTAGACAGATGATGAATTAAGGGAGGTTCATCGCAGCCAGTTTCCAAATCAGGTAGTCGTCCATTTGCCCGGAAAAGGCACTAGACTGCAGTTTCAGCCTGTTGGGCATCGTCAGTAGTGCGAATCCATCGGATCCATCGCATGATGAATTGACAAAGACGCGTGTGCGTATGTGTGTGCTAATATATTGGTGGATTTGCTATCTCAACTTTCTTGACTCTTCATGACGCTATTAATTTTCACGTGTCCTGTTGTAAGCACGTGACACTAAGTAGTCTGGAATTAAATGGTTCGAGGTTTTGGTGTTAAACTTTTACTGAAAATAATAATATCTTCAAATGACTCGGCATCATCGCTGATCTGGGAAATGACGTGGTAATTGTTTTCAACGAGACAATGGAGATAAGGCACAGAATAGTCCAATATGATTGGTGTCGTGACTGTGTTATGTGATTGCCCGATGCGTACAATATGGAGTGTGATCCGGAAGTATGTGCACATGATCACGGGTGCGAATGAAGATTGCGGATCCTGCAACTAAGTATGACACCGGATACAAGTAATGCCAGGAAGGCAGTGCAAACCAGACTTAAGGAAATGTCACAAACCACCTCGCCTGAGGTACAAAGTGAGTGGCCGGGATGGAGGCGAAAGTGATCATCAGGCGAACGAACAGCCCACACTCATCGCCGGTACTATTGACGCCAAAAGCGGACGGAACCCACAGATTCGAAACTGCTTCAGAGTACTATAAATAGTTACGGTGAAGCACACATTTTTGATACCCCAGATGGAGGGATATTTCAGACGCAGTGCGAATTTCGTTGATAGATCTCCGCTCGGGATGCTAACAACTTCCCATCGCAGCAGTGCGTTGTCACAAAACGGCATTCGATGTGAACAGTCAACAGTAGAAATATTTTAGGATGTCATTTGGGCTGCACAATTCTGCTGCTTAATACAGAAGTCTACTACGGATGATCCTGAAAAGCATTCAAGGTGTGGTTGTAGATAGAGATGACATCGTTGTTTTCTCTGATACAGAACACGAACATGGTACCAGAATCGCAGCGGTGCGACAACAACTGGAGAAAGTCGGTTTCAAACTTAGTCACAATAAGTCTTAGATCGTTCAGAAGTCTATCGTGTACTTGGGTCATGCTGGTCAGAATGGTCGAGTGTAGCCACTTGGCGAGAAGCATGAGACTATCAAGAAATTTACAGTTCCAAAATCTAGACGTTAGCTTCGTTCGTTCCTTAGGGCGGTGGTATTGGATTTAAAATTTGTGGCGCAGTTTGCAGAGATGATCCGTTTGTTAATAAAACATATTCGCAAAGCTCAACCGTTCGTTTGCACATACGAAATGAATCGAGCATTTAACCGTCTAAACGCATGCGTAGCATGGAAGCCAGCAAATTTACACACACCCAATCCTAGTGAAAGGTTCACCGTGGTGGTCGCCGGAGGCAACGTTGCAATCGGTGCTGTGGTGTCCCAACCAGCTGGGGTGATAACATGCATCCTTAGAATGTTGTCGGTCGTAGAACGAAAGTACTGCACAAAGCAGAAGGAAGGTCTTGCCGTCGTGTGGACCTCGAAGTATTGTAGAACCTACCTTCGAGCGAATGAATTCCATGTCATCCCCGACCATAAACAGCTATCTGGCTGATGATGGCGAAAAACCCACAGGGGCGCCTTGCACAGTGATCATACCAGCGTTAAGAATTTATCTTTGCCATTGAACCTATGGATGGAGCGAAGGACTTACTACCTGAGGTGTTGTAGCGTCTCGCTGTGGATGAACTCATAACAAACGATGCCATATAGGCCTGTGTCTCCCTAATGGATGATAATAGCCTACTGGAATTGCAAAACATGGCTTACTTTTTAAAGCAACTGTGTACTCATTCACAAGCGGACAACGATCCGGATATTATTTCAGAGGAGAATAAACTCCTCCGGATCTAGGACAGGTTGGATGTTACAACAGATAGTTTGTTGTTGGCAACAAATGGAATGAAATTACCTGATATTCCGCAAAATCAACAAGTACGGATGATCCAAATATCGCTTGATAAGGCGCACACGGGGGATTTGAATTTCTGGATTGCTACAGAGAAGAGTGTTTTGATCAGCCATGCGAAAGGACGTAGCTGCATACGTTTTGAGTTGGTCGAAATGCCGAACGCTCCGCAAGCTTGACACACAGATGTCACAGACATGATCCATCGAGGTCGAGGAACAGCTACAATGTTTGGGGTTTGGACATGTACCGATGAGTCGAACAGGAAACAAGTGCATCCCCGGGATGAGCGACCACTTCGGTAGGTTGGTAGAGACCATATTTATCCATCATAAGACGGTCGAGGTCATGTCACAAGTATTCGAGTTCAACTTGCCAGCAAGTCACGGAATATCACAATGTGTTATTACCGACCAATTATCTTGTTTAACGTTTGAAGGTATTCGAAGCGGTATTGAATTATTGGTGCATCCAGAGGTGATGTATGTCATCTTACTATCTGCAAACCAACGGAATTTGCGGGCGGTTTAGTGGTTAACTTGTGCGAAATTGGCATGAGATTAAGTCTTGTTTGAAGTACTAATTATGTATCAAAACGGCATGCAATCAAACATCAAGATCTCTCCAGTCTAAATACAGTTTATTTGTGAACGGAGAATTGCACTTTGTACGTGTATACTGACATAATAACATCCAACAGCGGATAGGAAACAACTGCGAAAGAATAAACCAAATCTCGGAAGTGCGGACTAAACCGTACTACGTCACAAGATGTTGGGTTATCAATTACTGGCCATTCACCATAGGAGAGCAGTCCATAATTCTCAACACCGATTAACTGGAACATAGAGGACGAGGCGCAATCAAGTTAAAGATTTATTGTAAAGGCCTATACACTGTAATTGATACAACTAAAATAGCTTGTAAGCGGACAACGAAACGGCGAAACGCTGGGTTAAGGCAGTTGTAGTATGACCACTGCTTAGGCGTGAAAAACAACATCGAGCAGGGCCGCTGGTATGGAGTGCGAATGACAAGGAGTATACGGAAGCTGGGAAAATCACGAGAACGAACGGGATAGGAAACGAATACAGGCACTGTTGTCGAGGTCAGATAAAGCCACGAAAGGTCCACTGAATGAGTAACGATCGAGTCACTGGCGATTAGTGGTACCGGTTCCGAGTCAGAGAGAACAGAGAAGCTATTGGTCTAAAGGATAAAGAATCAGACAGCAACACCCATGCCATTGCCATAGGAGTAACCTCAAGAAGAGTAATGCCAACGCGATCAAGTATTTCAAGAAGCATAGGATAAATTTGCGGTTGTCAGAATGCGTCGTACGGAGGCGAAGCTACAGGATCGAGCATGCAGAAAAAAATTCACCAAATTGGGACGAACGGGCACACGGATGGCCAGCGGTGATACACCACGTGTGATGCGTTGGGAGACGAAAACGTGACCTACATATATGTGAATGCGTGAGAGCTTGGTTATCCGTTGTCGCGCGCAGTACAGATGGCAATTTCTTGTCGCTTCGTCTGCGCTACAGCATGTCATTTCCAACGTATCTTTCCTGCCATTTGAAGACAACCTGATAATAAATCGGGGTAGCCGTAATAAGTGTCACAAATCCTATTCATCGAGAGACTACAGGACGTTAACGCTGAACTCCCTGTACTCAGCATGAAGTCAAGGTCTATTTATATTTGTGTTTGCGCAAATATCGGTATAGCTTTACAGATGTGTAGTTTATATTGTTGGTAACGTTGACTTTTGGATACACAATTCGCATGCATATCGTCTTATTGTTTTGGTTTATAGTTTGTACTCTTAATATATACCATTATTCCGTTGGATATCATTAGTAGCCCCACATGTCTGGTGAAAACATTTTGTGTTTACTGTCGACAAGTCGGTTTCAACTGGGATGAACTCATACTTGAGATTACATTATGGTACACAGAAGACATTTGTCGGGTAACCGTTTTACTACTTTTCTCTGTAGAACTGAATCACAAATACGAACTGGAGTGCCAAAGAACCAAACAGCTAGAAGACAAGTGTTACCATCTGACGGAAGCTACCAAGTGAGTGCTTTGGAATATCCGCACTTGGCACATTGTAATGCCTGAGCTTTAGGTATGACCACTAGTGTAGGTTTGAAATAATCGTTTCAAGTGACCACGGAGACAGGCCAAAGGAAGCAATCCAAGCTTAACAACTTCGAAAGGGGGGAGCTTCGACCGCCATCTACATAGAACCATATTGGAGTAGGCGATGGTGGCAAACTAGTGGTCAATAAATCACTAGGATAAAGTTTTAAAGCAGACAATGGGTGCATCTAATCTGCCTCTACTTTGTGTACCTGAGGCACAGAGGACGCAATTTAAAGTTCCATCGTACCTATGCATGTGCGCAAACATCACCGCATTACTTGATAGCCTCCGTAACCAGACACATTGGCGTGTCTGACAAATCGCACCCGAATGCAGACTTGGTGCCTTAGGTGCTGTCATGTGCGGCGTTCCAAAACGAGAATCCACAGATTGCGCATCCATCTGGCTAACTTCGTTCAAGCACCCCTATCATCCTTGCATACACTTATACGAAAACGACGATGCGGCACTCACAGGGCTGAACCCTTGTTGATTGATTAGCTCCCCGCGAAAGTAATCTTTGATCAAGAACTTTTGCAATGCTCACTGTGCCAAACGCAACTTACTTGTAGTTTCTGCCTAGGATCAAGCTAACTGCAATCCTGGTAACCTATACCACAAATGCAACACACTACGTAAAACTAATACAAGATCACACATAATTGAACGCGTCTGCATAAGTAGGCTTTACAAGCGCTTCTTCAGCAGTTTGCAGCACATCGGCTGTTTTTTACCAGAGTGTCTCTGCCGCTTTGTTCGCTGATATGCCCCCGCGCCCTTGGGCTTCTGCACTGAGTAATGCATAGAAAGCAAGTAAGAATCCAAATACACAGTTCCATCGAAATATGATAAAACATTAGAAAAACAAATCTATCTTTTAGCTTTCAGCACCATGATAGAATTTCAAGTTCCCCCATGATATGTATAAAAGCGTGTAATTCACAGTAATCCGGGACTCAAAAGTTGTGTTATCATTGACATTGGGAAATCGGAATGTGACAGTAGAGTTTTGCATAATCCGACAATGTTTCGGACAAATGCATTGACTTGACCTCGTTTAATTGTTCCAGCAGACTGTTCCAAACATTGACTACTCACTCTTCAAAACATAGGGAGTGAGGATTGCGTTTCAGCTCTGGCATCACAAGCTTGTCCTTGTATGCTGCAATGTGCTCGCAAGTGGAATAGTGGCCTCATAATGAGGAAGTCACCTAGTTGTAGAATGCGATACGGCGTGATATCGATGCGCACACAACGATAGGTCAGGGTATACAGTCACAGTCTCACATCCGTCTACGTAAACTAATGAGGAGTCTAGTAGCGATGTACTGGGCCCGTCCGATTATCCGCGCTTCACCTCAGGCTACCAAGTATTGGTCTAGTTATGGCGTGGTAACCTCTTTAGAACAGATGCGGAAGCTGCGCTTGACTTATATTAGGAGCAACGTAGGCCCCAGCGCCGTACCTTGGGGTATGCCGCTTGTAGAGTGATACCACTCGGTTACATGATTGTCGGCTTGCACCATTTACCTTTGTCCAATGAAGAACCAGCTGATCCGCTAGTGCAAAGAGCAACAAACACCGCACTCTCTCACCATGAGAAGGATGGCTTCATGGTCTATCTTGCCGAACGGTCTACTGCAATCGAGGCAGATCACGTCGACAGACTTCCTCTGGTTCATTGTCTGCAGCTATTTATGCTTCGTCACCAGCAGATTGGTAATGCATGAACGAGCTTACTTGAAATCGTGCTGTGCGGGCGTCATGAGATCCTTTGTTCAAAATACCTGTAGCAAACGCCTCTTTACACTTTTCTCATCGACCTTGGCAGAAGTAGGTGTGGAAATTGGCCTGCGATTGTCCACTATTATTGAGTCACCGCCTATCGGAGTCGGTCTTATCACTGAGCATTTACAATCTATTGGTACCCAACGTTCGGACAGCGACCAACTGAACAGGTCGTTCACGACAAGGGAGATGGCGGCCGATAGAGATTTGAAAATCAGTTGTTGGAGCCAATCAGACCCAGCATACTTGGTGTGCTCAAGGTTGGCAAGTAATTGACGTACATCCTCCGCATCACAGACCAGATTGTCGGCTTCGGTAAGTAGGTACGCACCTAACTCGCTACAGACACCCGGTCTTTTGAAGTACGAAGTCAAGCGCGCTGTCAACGCGGACGCACGCTCAGCGCATGAAGTGATGTGATGTTCGTCATTTATACCCACGGTGGGGTCGCACCATGTTGACGTATTTACTCCTCACAATTTTGTTGCTGAACGTCGAGCAGTTATTTATCCCAATCGGATTTATTCGCTCTACAAATTAGGTATTAAATTGTCGTATAATTTTTAACACCCCGACAACTTATTCACTTAAGCGCTTTGCATGGAGTTGTTACTGAAACTCACTCACGCTACTACTTCATTCTTCACGTACCTTTTGGGGGTTTTACGATACCACGAATAGTCTAAACACCTGCTCCTCCAATAATTAGCCAAGTCGCTGCATCTTAGTTTTACCCATCAGTTGTGAATTCATTCACATTCGCTCACGTAGCATCTAAAGGTGCAAGGCTTGAGTCTTGCGATGTACACTGGAATCGCTAGCGATAGGTAATCGGCGCATCGCCCATTCCTTCTTTGTATGACAAGCTTGCGCCACGTCTCTTGCTAAATCGCCTACTCAGATCAAAGGACTAGTTACCTGGTTCTGCGCTGAGTGTATGGCCGCTTTATTCGTTAGGTGTATCGTTGTAATGGCACAGAAATGCCATAACGGAGCGGCGATAATCGAAGAATTTGCTTGGTATAAGTGCTACTTTTAGATCATCCGCAACTGGCCTAGGGGTCCAAGGGGCTACCTCTATATGTGTTGAGCTGGTCAGTAGTAAGAGTTAAATCATGAACCAAGGTAAACGGACAACTCTCATTCAAAACCAAGCTGCCGTCTTGGCACAAGGGATAGTGCTTAAGAGTAAATCTGTGTGGCACAAGCTATACCGTAGTACCAAAAAATAAGCACTGTAGATGAAGTTGTAGCTACATTTGCATCGGTTGCCGCTGCTTAAGAACAAGGGGCCAATTGTGGGGCCTAACTTTACGCGGTTACACAGCGCACCAGAACTGCCATCCTCCGCTACAAGTTCACACCTCATTCACTCTCACGTTGCTCATAGCTAGACGAAGACACGAGTTGCCGATGATCCCTTGCGCCAGCGTGGTTGAATTTGGCGCGAATTCCATAAAAGATAAGCTGCTGGCCCAAACCAAACAGGATTCCGTATGCTTGCTAATAGGCGTCCATGTTAAACTGACTGTCGGCTCTCCTAGACGGCCGCAAAACATGGACTGTATACACTAAAGTACTCGTATATTTGGAGCGCTTTTCTTAACAATACCTGCGCCGGATTCTGCGCATCAGTTGTTGTGTTACGGTTCCTGGCACGGACGTGTTCCACCGTAGCGGAATGTAGGAATTGGACTGCACACTTCTGCTGCGACACTTGGGGTAACCCGGACATGTTTGCCGTATGGACTCTACTGGAAACCCGAAACACCTGATATATCGCTAACTTAGTAGAGGGAAACGAAATGCAGTTAACCCGAATCTACTTCACTGTGAAATGAGTAAGATGAGTTTATTACGAGCTTAGGTGGAACCAAGCATCAGGAAACGATGGCAGTGGATCGCCGCGAATGGTGTGACCACTTCAAAAATGCTGTTGCCCTCGTCCATCAGTAAGCATTGTTGCAACAGGAAGAAAAACACCGAGTAAGAAAGTGACTGACATCTGGTGGTGTGGCACCCGCGGTGGAGTGTGCGCAAGTTAGGCGATATGGAACGTCATCAGTGTGCGCGCTAGCGGCTAATATGGAGGAGGCAACAAGTGAGTTGAGTAGGCAAGTATCAGCGCAGCGCTTGGTAAGTAAGCTATTCCAGATTCCAGTTATTAATAAAGGCCGATAATGCGGTAGATATGGCAAGGTTGCTATATCGATGCTGGTTGGTCCGTGCACTTGCTTGTTTATTAAAATAAATGTTAGTGATTTTGCTGTCAATGGAGTAGTCCCGAACTCCGGATAGTTTCACAACACTAGTAGCTAATAAACAAAAACCCGTTATTTCCTAGGAATAGTACATGTATAGTGTTACGTGATAAGATGCATGTGTCCGAGTCCTTCATCCAACCATCTTTTAAATAGGGCCGGTGTCGGTGCGGAAACGATTGGTTTAGGGAGAGCGCTTCAAGGGTAAAACACACGAGGCGAAAATAATATTCCGTGACATTCCAGGCGGTTATGCTCCTCAACTAGTTATGTGGCGAAACCATAATTGTATACTACTGCTGAATCGCAGCAAAGAACGGTACACATGGTTTAGATCATTCAGAATCAAATAGGCCATCATCAGGTCTCACCGTAATCGGCGATACCATTTGATGGGTACTCCCAAACGTTTCTTTCCATGGCAGCGTCGGAGCTTATTTATGCCACGTACGTACTTGGAATCCGACTTTGAGGCTTCTCAAAAATACTGAAGACTGAGAATAGAGGGCAAGAATATTATGAATCTGTGTTGCTCCATCGTAGGTGGACCGGGCAGTAGCGCGGAGTCACTCCCCTGATTCCTGCGCGGTGGCAGCAGATTGCAGCTGCACTGCATCTTATCCGGGTGCGATAACAATGAGACAGATTTTTAGCTATGGCTGACAGGCTTGTATTGTGTATTCTGCATGGGGGCGGACATATACACAAACATATGCAGGAAAATTGAGATGTTTATACGTCCGAACGCCAGTCTGAACAGCACAGCGTGTCGGTTTTCAAACTTTCAGTGCTTTATTGGATTGCATGGAAGAAATACGGCTTCTACGGATAACAGTGCAATCGGAAGACTACTTAGAGGCGGTCCTTCCGTCGTTCACCCGT